TTCTCAGGAGGAATCCCCTCCATCTGTTCGGCTCGGATTGATTGTGATTAGAGTGAGATCCTCAAAGAAACAGTGAAAGGTTGAACTTGTCTTTTGCTGCTCGGCTCGAATCGTCTTAAACAAACAGCATCTTGAACCAACACAGAAATGAGAAAAAATTTGCCAAAGATTGGGGAATTAAACTGTAATACTTCACACTTCTTCACACTACTTGCGGAAATGAATGCACAACACTTGCCAAGCACAGTAAGCTAATGGGACTGGATTGGGGATGGCCAGGACAAGACGTCACCAACGCCAAATAAGGAAGTTGAAATCCAAACCCATTTCTGTTTGCTCCCTCGGCGGAGGCTGAGCGATTACTTCTTGCAATAAATTACAACTGTGTGCCAATCCCATCAGCAAGCAGAAAATCGCTGGGAGAGGACATTCCCACAAATTGTCACATTTGAAGTTCTCAGATTGTCCAGAGGCCATGTCACGGGAAATTTAGGGAGATATATTTATATGTATGCATACCATTACTTGCAATGCAGGGTCTCATTCCCCTGCACTCTCAAGACCATATGCTCTGAATTTAAACTTGAAATGTGACCACCCCCTTACTGCACCCATATGTCAGATTTTCTACCCTGTAGGCTGTTCTTTAAACTTCAATTTCATAGCAACTCAATGACACGTGTCCAAAATAAAAACCTGAACCCTGAATGGAGAGAAAATATTGAGACACACAAGGAAATTGTGATGGTTGCAATAAATCTGTTTCCTTCCGTTAACACTGGCTCGAGGTTTTCCTCATAATGGAGCCTCATGGCGGTTAGCACATTCTAATCTATTAATGGGAGTCATTAAAGACGTCAAAGCTCTGAACGGCAGGACAAGAAGGACATCTTGGTCATAATAGCTTCAATTTAATCTTTGAATGCCATTCATCAAGCCGCATGTTTTGTGTCAGCGAAAGCCTGACTCGCTGAAGGTTAATTCAGTCAACTGGAGTCAAGGAAAGGTTGGTTTCCCTGTTACAAATCCCCATGGGCTGTGTTTGATATCTCTCACACTGGGAACACGTTACAAAGATTGGCAGGTTTCTAAAAACAGTTGAGGGAATGCATTAGCTGTTATCAAATTTGGGAACCCATTGCCAGTAATCGAAACCAAAGTGTAGCTTTCATTAAGTCTATGAAGTGACATCTTTGTGCGACTTCACAAACTGTCCACTCTTACAACCTGACCCTCCAACATCTGAGTGCGCAGCATTCTTTCCATTCCACTCACCCAGTTTTTAATGGATGGTGCCCATTCTAGTCAGTGTTCATGTTTCCAGAAACACCTCTCCACTTGAGATACACGCCGAGTCTATTTTGGACATCACTGCTTCTAGCAAGCGTCCGAAAGCAGATCAAGGCGAACAGGAAGTCAGAGCACCTGGTCAATTTCAAAATAAAACACCATGTAAGCTATATCCTGTCACAAAAGTATATCAATATCACGTCAAAAACAGGCGCAACATGGACAGCGAATCAACCTCTCAAAGGCACAATAACCTGTTGTTTGTGTGTTGTTCCTGCGGCCCTCTCAGATGCTGTACTATCTTGGAGCTAGATTTGATCAACTCTGACTTCAAAGTACATTGATGCCAACCACTGGCCATGCCTGAAGTCTGAAAAAGTTGGCTTCCAGAGGCTATAATGTTGGCAGACAAGGCCAAAAGATTCCAGGATTGGCCATGATTGAGCCACAAATTACAACATAGAATCCACAAATCAACAAATTTTGCAACGACTGTACTGTACTATTGTACTATTATTGTACTATTATATTATATTATTATACTACTATTGTACGATTGTACTATTAACAACCATAGTGAGGGTTGACAGCTGTGAGGGATTTTTTCTTTTCGAGTCCACAGATGTTAATTATCAACCGCAAATCTTTACAGTCTTCTGTGGGTGGTTTCAGTAGTTTAGTCATTCAAGATTTCAGTCACAGTTTAAATGGACAAATATTAAGTCTTATGTTGCAAACTGGTCGCACTGATATGGATGGAATCAGAGGTGCTGCTTGTCAACAGGCAAGGCAGGCAACTGCTTGGGGCCCTAGACCAGTAGGGGTCCCCCAATGGCCTACAAACTTAAACCAAAGCAGTGGAAATATGCAAATTTTGCAATTATAGTAAGGGCGAAAAAAACTCCCATAGAAGGCTGACCCGACAGCACTCACTCTTGTTGCCTTGCTAAGCATTTCATGCATCATTGCTGTAAAAACCAAAGTTTGTAAGTGAAAGTCAACCATGGAAAATTAAGAGGATATCCGTCTATAGGAGAGAAAAAAGAAACAAGGAAGTTTCAGTACACTGGCAGACATGACGGGGATGAACGCTGGTTGGATGGCACCCAATTGGATTTTTGCCTAGGGGCCCCAACAGACTCTGGAATCACCTCTGGATATAATAGTGTTGTGTAAACCCAACATTGACGAGAACACTTTCAGATGGCAGAGCTTCTGCTACCTCCTCATATTCTGTCTCCGGCGACTCAAACATTTTAAGTCGCAGTGGATTATCACAGGCTTTGTTATTTGTACGGAGCCAGGGAGCTGTCAATCAAATGTGATCTGCTACATTCAGCTTTGGGAAATGGTTCCAAACTGCAAAATGATGTTTTAAAGTAGGATTGTTTGCAGTCTTAAACCTTAAGAGTTAATATTCGACTTCTGTACAATGTTGTAGAGTTCAGAACTCATTGAGAGATTTGTCACTAACAGCGCCAATTTTTAGCACATTTTGTAGGACACCAAAAAAAAAAAAAGATGTGGGATTTTTGTGGTGGATATTTTAAGCCAACCAGGGTTGAATGTTTCTCCACCCAAAAGTCTCCCCTTTCCCTTTCTCTCTGCCTTTGAAAGATGACCTTTCAAAAAGCCCCCTTCGCCTTTTGGATCCATAAAACTCTCAAGGTACATTGAAAAGCTCTTATTATATCTGAATGAGCCTCACAGGAACACTAGTTTGATACCACTAGTCATCGGTGCGCCATGGTTTGGCTCGTACTGGAATTGCACAGAAGAAGAAAAGCAGAATAATTCATGTCTTGAAGGCTTTATGGCTCCGACTGGCTTCCTTTATAACATCGCTCTATGTGTTGAGCAAAAAACCAGCTACATACTGTAGCCCTAGCTCGCGGTGTTGGAAACATTACTTCAATGATGCACTGAATACAAGGTACCAGCTACAAATGGAATGATTATACAAAGGGAGAAATTTTGTGGAAATGTTATACAGTCCTTCAGGCTCTTTAGATACAGGGACCATGTTGTATTTTCATTTGGTTCCAGCCAACATAGATAAAAAAGACAGTATTCCTACTGTTTTGTATAGCAAATCAACATAGGAAGATGGAAGAGGAACATCAAGCATCATAGAGGAAATGCCCCAGGATGGGGTTAGGCTATACCTGACAGAAGGGTGCAAAGAAGATAAATGTCCTGTCCATGTCGGGGTGGTTGGAGGCTGGGAGCGAGGCGCAACAAGAGAGAAGACCATTTACCAGACGCTCCACTTACTGACATCCATTACTGAACCCTGTGGCATGGTAAGGCAGCCATGACAAATAGTGTGCTAATGGCACACAGGACACAGTATGTGTCAGCACTTGAAGGGCCAAGGGACAGGGGGGGAACACATTGTTGGCTGGAAGTACAAATAATTTAACAAGCGCGTACAGTCGTGGAAAGGCGGAATTCCATCGATTTTGAAACGCATTAGGATACGGCGTCAGTGTACCATTGCTTGGGGGAAACAAAGCAGGCGTTCCAAAGGACTACAAATCAGATAATTTGCACTTCTCTGGCCTAGAGAGCATTCATAACATCTGTTGCAGGTGTTACAAGCAGCCAGGCCAGAGAAACAACTCTGAATGCTAATGTACAGTCGCTCCTCGATGTGTATGAGCAACTATTTCTTTACTTAATGACAAACACCCGCACACTGTCTAACTTGCGTTGCCAATAAACGTTTGTTTGGAAGTCAGGAGTTTACCATTACATTTCAGTTTTTTGATCATTTTCAGCATAAAATATTCAAAGTCCTACATGCCTCGACAATGAATCCAACGAATACAGCTTTCATACATCTTTGAGGGAACCCTCCGCCTAATCAGGGGCGAGTCTAGGGTCTGTTGGGGCGCTGGGCAAAGGTTCATGACGGGGGGGGGGGGCCTTCCAATGACTTTTCCTCTTTCTTTTGCCACCGCAAGATGGATAACTCCTCTTCATTCAAATTTTGTTTTTTCCAGGAATAATGCTGTGACGCTTAGCAAGGGCATTGACAGTGAGTGCTGTCAGATGGCAGATTTTTCTACTGTCGTTTGCTAAATTTTAAACTATTTGAGGAAATGCTCTGGTTTTAAAGTTTGTCAGCCATTGGGGGCCCCCTACTGGCCTGGGGCCCCAAGCAGTTGCCCGCCTTGCCTGTTGACACGCAGCGCCTCTGAGCCTAATCTTATGATATCAGTTACTACATGGAACACAGGGAATCATTCATTTCTAGTTTATGGTGCATACTTGCCTGTGTGCTTTTAGACTGAGGAGAAAAAACAAAACCTTTTTTTTTTTTCCACAGGGCAGGATCCTCGTCTCTGAAGGACGACTTGAGAAGTATTTTCTCAGTGTTCTGGTCCGAGACGAGAGATTAAAAGTCACAGTTGGGGAGCGTTGCTATGGCAGTGAAACCCTGCGCATTCAGCCTCTTCCTTATCCCGAGTGCATGAAATGTGAGTTTGAAACCTCGTCTGGGCTTTTCATCCCTCGAGAACTTCGATTCATGCCAGAATGTATTTTGCAGGGGGAAGCTGGCCATTGTTTGCTGCTACTTTATTATTCATCTTCCCTCTTTCATGTTTCCGAGCTGAATCCTCATTTACAGTCCGGCTTTTTTTCTCTGCTTGAGATGACAGAAGTGTTTCAAAAATCAGCATGGAAGAACTTAACTCAGAGGCAGATTTAGTCTCTCGATTTTTGACCAGAAAAACGTTTTATTGGAGTAATTATACACACAACATAAAGACATAACCATGTTTTCCCCGTTATTTTTTTTTTTGGTTAAATAATAGACATTTTGCATGATAAATACCCAATCTGTAAACCAGTTACCATGTACCAAACCATGAAAAACATCATCAGAATTAGGTCGTACTGGAGATACAGTTAAAGCAAAACATCACAAACATCGATAACCTTACATTGAACTTCTCCCAGACATGAGAGCAACAGACATTTGACACAGTAAGTATTACAATGTAGCACAAGCAGGCACCAGATGTGGTAGAAAGAACTGAGCAGACTGCTTTAGTAAACGTTTACTGCATATAGACGCACAAACACACACGGCTATCTCTGCTAGCTCGTCGCCTCAGCGTTCCTCAACAAGTTTTACTTCTGAGACTTTAACTTGACGTACATGTTTACACTCGACTGCGCGGCCCCACTGCATATGAAGTCACAAACATTCCACCTCGCTTTGTTGCCTAATCTCCCAGCTGCTTGTGGCCGTGAACTACAAGCAGCTGTCAATCACAGCAGAGCGTGCACCACCAAGGTCGGACACACGTTTTCTTTAGGCCGAATGAGTCAAGATTCAGAAACTACATTGCACATTTCTCGCACCAAATGCTTTCAGAATGACATTTCAGTGCATCGCTTAAAAACCCAATTATTTGTAATTTTATTACGTATAAAAAGTTGTTGTTTTTTTTACATTAGGGAAAAAGCCGCCATGTTGTTTCCAGGTTTGAATTCTTTGGGGAAAACGGCCTTTCCGGTCAATCACGGGAGAATTCAAACCCAATCAAAATAGCGGGTCGCGCAGCTCGCATCGCATTTTGTTCAACTTTTGTCCCACTCCTTTCTCGCCTTCCCCTTGCTCGCCAAGCGCCCCATAATCCGTTGCCCTACTCTCTTCTCGCATGTAGTGGGGTCGGCCAGTAAGATGCTTCCCTCTAAAGCCGTCTTAAAAAGAACAACTTTATCTGCTCGAGCCAAGAAGAAGAAACAAAAACACATAGAGACACATTTTTCCTCTTTACAAGGACATATTCTGTAAGGCTGAGTAAAGAAAAAGAAATGAACAAATAAACACATATCCATGGACGGCTCCCATTAAATATGTTTCTTGGTACCACTCAGGAGCAGAAACCTGTAGGCCGGAATATTTCTTCCTGCGCCTGAGGCGAAGCTACAAAAATCCCTCTCATTGCAATTATTAATTATTCTGCAGAAAAACAAAATTAAAACAAATTCAGCGGAGGCACATTTTACTCACAGCTACTCCTCCAGGAGGCCATTAGAAATAATTGAGAAACCACTTTTTCCTCGGGTGCTTATTGTCAGCGTCTGCTGCCGGCGCTCACAATTTCAGCCGCTCAGAAAAGCAGCTTTTTGTTTGTAGCATTTTTTAAGGATTAAATGAATGGAAGGTTAGGAGTTTCCTCGGGCTGTGTAGTCCTTCAATTAAAAGGGAAATACTCAAAATCGTCATATTAAGCTCCAAAAATCATAACGAGCAGCTTGAAGAACACATTATTTAACTACTGAATGAGCAGGAGTGGAGTGATTTAATCATGGCCTGGGTCTTTTGGAGCACAAATGAATCATCAGGATTATGAGGAGGTTACTATCCTGTTGACACGGTGACAAACGGTGACGTTGCAGTTTTTCCGATTTGTGCTGTCACTTCTTTCATGTCCCCCCCCCCCCCAAGTTGATCAAGCTGTGCTCCTCGGTGTTGTGCACGGAGCTAAAGAGGCAAATGAGGTTTGCTGTTTTTTTTTTTTTTCCTCCTTGTCTGCAGCCTGAAGCGCCTAATGGGATTCTTGTTGAGGGGGGGGGAGGAGGAGGAGGGGGAGGGGAGATAAGGGAGAAAGCGACTATGCGTACGGTCCTCGGCTTCTGTCTCATTTCAGTTTCAATTTGCATCAGGCATTATTTCTGGGGAAAGGGTAAGAGTTAGATTTCTCACCCCTGGAGGGGGATTTTACCTCGTTTCTTTTGGAGACGGAAAACATCCCAAGTCGTGGTAAAAACGTTTATTTTTTTTTGGGAGACATTCTAAGTTACTGACGAGTGGATTATAGTTTTGTACTCATGCAACAATGAGAAGACTGATAACACATTCTTTGTCCACCATCAAAAGCTGCTCAGGGGAGCGTGGTCTGACTTGTTTTCCTTAACGGACATTCTGGAAATAAGTTGAACTTTAAGTCGGCTAAGTACTCCTTGTTTACTCCGTTAAAGTTAAAGGGAATCAGGAAGTAGCCGCTCAAACACTGGTTGTTTTTCCTTGTCTAAATAATTCATATGCACACCTGCTAGGTGAAACAGCCAAACACATACGATTCAATAAAAGCAGTACATTTTCACAAGCAGTTTGAAGAACGCCTGACAGGCTGTTTTTTTTTTTTTTTGCTTTTTTTAAGGAAGCAAACTTAGCCAAAAGTTTGGTTCTTTTAAAATGCAGATGAGATTTATTTAGCCTGGGGAAACAGAAGCAACCCTGGATTAAGAGTCTTACATTCATTATCCTGACTAAGATCTGCTTATTACTAAATCATATACAGTTTGCATTTTAATAAATAATCCACCTGACTTTCTGCAAGTTTTAAAAAGGGACTTGGATGAATATAAATTACGCAGGAGGTGAAAGGTGCACAGAAATAAATACATTCTCACTGGATATGGAAATCACTGTCGGCTGCCGGAATGACCAAGCAGAGGCGACCGGACGTTGAGTTTATACGAGGGATTTTTGTGTGCCAATTGTCTGCAAGCCAAACTCTCTGCCATCGCTTTTCGGTCAGCGCTTGTCACAAATCTCAGCTGTCACCCACACACGCCATTGTCATTCATGTATTCATACGCCTGCATTGAAAAACAATACAAAGGAGGGTGGTTGATATGTGTATGTGTGTGTGTCTGTGTGTGTGTGTGTGGGGGGGGGGGGCTGAGGGGACAGGCACTGCTGGGAGACGGGAGAACATGAAAAAGAGTAGGGAACATGAAAGCGATAGGAAATGGCAACGTACCAATATGTAGGACAGAAGTCTAACATCTCAAGCAGAAGTGCTCAGGAGGCCGTCACAATCGCAGTGTTTACTTTCTGTATCCATCCAGTGTTCAGCTGTTTAATGTGAATTATTTGGGGTGGGGGAGCGGAAACATTCTTAGTTGTTGTTGAAATATATAGAAACAAAATGTTAACCAACATATCCATAAATTACAATATTGTTCAAACAATTTGTAGCTTTTTGGTTGGCTATGTAAACCCTGCCGAAGTCTAGCTTCATTTTTAACGGAACTCCATGAGAGTGGTCTAAACCTTCTCGACCAGATCTCTGACAGAAAGACAGTAAGAAGATTTAACATGTCACACAGTGTTTTCTTTTCTAGTCCAGTAGGAATGTCTTGAAACATTTAAGAACACAATCCTTAAAAAATGCATCAAAGTAGAAAGAGTCGAGCTAGCGGTCTCCCCCTGCGTTTTCACTCTAAGCTAAGCTAAGTTAACCTAAAGCCAAGCTCACACTGTGCGATTTTCCCCCCGATTGTATAAAAGTCGAGGTGGCATGTCAGCTCACCGTGTACGACCCGATAAATATCAAACAAGTTTGAAATAAATCGAGGCGTCCCCGACGATTGCCGGGCGAACATTAAGATTGGATGTTTGTACAACTCACACTACAAGATAATCTGAGCAGATAATCGGGTCCGAGCAGCCGGGAGTTGAGGGAGCGACCCTGCGATTGTCGGGAAGGAATCGGAGCTCAAATCGGCCCGATTATCCTGTAGTGTGAGCCAGGCTTAAACTAAGCTAAGCTAATTCTCTCCTAATTCATAATTAGCATAGAGCGTGGTATCAATCTTCTCATCAACATATATCCAGGATGTCTAGCTTTTCTTTTTAAATTGAATATCTGTAGCACACTTGAGCTCGAGTTATTAGCATGAAAGATGTAATTTTAAAAAAAGTTTGTTGTTACCATTAGGGTTGAAGAATTGAAGATCTCAGATGTGGTGCGTCGGAGGAGCAATTTAAGGAAAAAAACGGGGGTCTTTGTACTTAGGCGACACTCAAAGTAATTGGCGGCGCTGAAGCAGAAGGCAGAGTGAGTACATTAAAGACAGCACAGAGAAAAGGTGAGTTCGACTGAAGCACTTTTTCCCCGAGTTGTTATCTGTTTGTGTAAACATGCCGCTGCCCAATCAGCTTGGTTCACTAAGCGTTACTGCAAGAGGGGCGGGAAACAAAAAACATCCATTTAACACCAAGACACTGACAAACATATACATTTCAGTGTTTGGATGGCTGCTGCTTTAAAAATAAGAAGTGATGAAACATTAGTCAATAAGACCAAAACATAAAGTCAGAGTTTGTCCAGATTAAAAAATAAAAACTGGACTCACTCTGTTCCCTTTGATATATTTTTTTGGTGTAAACACGCTGACTACTTGGCATTCAGCTTTTTCAGAATTTGGGAGTCGACAATGTGCAAGTTATTCAGGAGAATGATTCTGAAAAAAAAAGAGAGAGAGAGAGAGAGATGCCCTGAATGAATGAACATGAAACAACATTAAATAAAAAAAGGATGAAATCCATACTGAGCTAACGTCCTCATTGGTTGACAGTATGTCTCATAATTTACCTTTGGCACAAAGTATTTACAACGTAGTTTTTGTCACTAAAATGTCCATCAGCCAGTGAACGAACTACCAGAACACACAAAGCCACACACAGAGCACAGGCACTTGATGTTCTTTCTCAGGATGCAACAAAGCGGATGCTGCCAATAAAAGAGAGAGAGAGAGAGGAGGATGGGGGGATGAGCTTCACCAAACTGAAACGGTGTTTTCTCCACCTCACATTCTGCAGCCATGCACACATAGCTGAAGGAGACCTTGTGTAAAGGCTTCATCAATAAAATACAATTTGAAAAAATAAAAGGCTTCCTCAATGAGGGCGGGGGGGGAAGTCGGTCAAACAGATGGCGCAGGGGAGTCTGATGTGACTGCCGCGGTTTCCCCTCCAGGCTCAGCAGGTGCCGGTGGTGCTCACCGTGGTGTAGCTGAACTTGGACATGGAGGTGGCCATGGACGTCGCCATGGAAACGGCGGTGGTGCCGTCATCCCCCGCCTCCCTCCTCCTCCCGCACCACCAGCACCGGCGGCAGAGCCGGTTGCGGCAGCAGCAGGCGAAGGTGGAGAGCAGGGCCTTGCGGAAGCGCATGTTCATGAAGCAGTAGATGATGGGGTTGACGCACGCCGAGGTGTAGGACAGCAGGTGGATGAAGGAGATGGGCGCTCCTGAGAGCGCTTTGGACGCCGACCTCAGGTCAAAGGCCTTCCAGGTGTTGGCGGTGTACAGCGGCATCCAGCAGACGAAGAAGAGCGCCACGATCACCATCAGCATGCGGATGACGCGGCGCTTGGCCTGCAGCTTGGCCTCGGAGGTGTTGCTGCGGGCGCGCTCGGTCTTGGCTTGGTTGGCGGCGGCCGCGGCGGAGAGGGTGGGGAGCTCCACGGCAGAGGAGGGCTTTTTAGACACCTGGATGTAGCAGCCATCGTCGTCGTCGTTGGACCCCGTGAGAGGCTTTGCGACGCCGTTCTTCTGACCTGTGGACCGTCACAAAGTTCAGATTTAAAGAAGCTGGGATTGTTGATTAAATTAGTGATCCATTTCACCCTTTGAATCCAAAAATCCCAAAACAAGCCTTTTATAGCTCTGCTTGAAAACAACCGGCCTGACTCAGAGGGCAGAACAAACACCTAGCTGTGGGAGTGTCACCCACCTGGGGGAGGGGTTACTGCCCTTTGTGATGTCATGAAGGGAAAATCTCCAAACGGCCTGTTTGAGCACACATTTTCTGAAAAGTGGAGCAGGCAAAAGACAGAGAGGATGGACTTTTCTCATAATTGGGTTTTTTTTTTAATCCGGCTAGGGGACACATATTAGTGTTAGAAAAACATGGTAAAGTGCATTTGGCAAAATATGTGACCTTTAAACCCTCAATTGTGCTTCAGACAATTACGTTACAGCACAGAGCAGATCTTATAATGTGCAGTGTATGGGGGGGTAAGCCTGTTTTAAAGATCACACTGACACAATGTGATGCATATTGATGCCTTGGGGGGGAAACTAGGTAGCAGGGGTGATAATAGGAAAAAGTCAGATCCGTCTGTAGGCGATGGTTAGAAACGGTAGAGCGCGGGATCATAATAAACATGAAACATGAAAATACATTTTGTATGACTAAAAGATCTCTTGCTACATGCTGAAGAAATAACACCGTGTTTATATATCTACCGCTGCTTCTGAAGGTTATTTCAGATCGTCGCGACCCTTTATGAATCACTCATAAGACCATGGACTCCATGGAAACTGGTGCACCGCATGCACACAGCTACGACGACAGCAGTTAGAATTCACCTGAATGCACTCTTTTCAGTCACACTTTTCAGAATCTTCTTTGAAAAAAAACCCAAAAACAAACATTAGATACAGGTTTTATGGAGAAACTCCAAAACGGGCCTGAAAACAAGCTGAGAGAAAGACTATTTGTGGATGTAACAGGTGCAGACCCTGTGGGGAGCGAGGAAATATGTCATGGACTGCTCAAGGCAAAACAAACTAATTTCAATTTGCAAACTTGTTGCATTATTAATTTTGCTGGTTTTACCTCGGAAGAGTCATCTGCATCTTTTAGAGACTACCTACAAAGCTCTAAAAATCACATTCTGTTTTTCTTTTTAATGAATAATGCCCTTTCCTTTCTTCTTCATGTGATTCGCTGTAGGTTCACATTCAGGCCTACAGAAGTAAAAACAGACTTGCTCCGGTTTGAGTGTTATAATCAACAATAACAAGAAGCGTTTTTTTGAATGAATGAATTCATGATGGAGCTCACCAGTGGTCTCTTTGTTGTGGCCAAACTCGAACTGCATGCCTCGGTAGAGCTCCCTGGAGATCAGACCGTAGGCTATAATCATCACCACTCCCGGGACGAAGAACAAGGTGAACAGAAGCAGCATATACCTGAAAAACAGCCAGAATGGAAAAAGAGAGGGGGGGGGGGATCAAAAACAGCTCTCACACACACACAGAACAAAATCAGCTCTCAGGACCGGCCCAAAGAGTCAGATTCTGTAGCTGCAGATTAAATAAATTGCTCTTGAGGCCTGCGGATGCTTGAAGCTTCTTTACCCTCATGGTGCCCAGTCAAAGTTGCTGAAGCATCGCAAGCTCTACAGCTTCTCCCTGCTGGCTAATTTACAACTGGCAGTGTGATGCTGATGCAATGTTCGGTTATATCCACGAGTATTATCACTGCTGAGAGTTAGCTTATTTTCTGAAAGTTTACACCTCTGCGTGTAGATTTCACTGCAGGCTGCACTTCAATATTCCTGTCTCATGGTGGCCCAACCAAACGTCTAATAGAACGCTGTGGGTGTTCTACATATTCATAAATTGTCAACCTTTATAAAAGAGGTTCAAGTCCTTTAAATCCATATATTAACACTGCTGGAAGGGTAGAGTGTTCCAATGTTCAGATGGGAATTCGATTTGGTTTTTAAAAGTGCTCGGTCAAGTCAATCTTCAAATGGTCACATTTAAGGAAAGTTCATGGTTTGGCAAAAAGAATAATCTATTGCTCTACTACATAAACATAAATGTTGCTCAACCTGAGCCCATTTGTCTTGTTGGACATTTGAAGCTGAACTATGATAAAACGAGGGCCTGACCGATATGGATTTTTTGGGGCCGATATCGATATTAGGAAGAAACATTATCGGATACCAATATATTGGTGTAAATCTTTCTTAGACCTATGTTTGTTCTGTAGAAATAAATGGACAGATTTGATGTGTTGATCCCTCAAATGCCGTTATCAAACACTTACGGAAAACATACGCAGTATAAAGTAGACAGGATGGTCACTAAACTGGAAAGTAACTGTGCATGCACGTGCATCACTGCTTGACACTCTGGAGGGTGATCATGCTTGTAGTAATCCATATAGCGCCCTCTGCTGGTTAAAGAGTGTAGTGTAATACAATGATCACATGAAATGATGTTGACTGGTGAATCAATCTAGTAATATCGGTGCAATTCGCCCGCTATCGATGCATATGGTCATTGGATATGCTAATATCGGCTGATAATATCGGCTGGCCAATAAATCGGTCGGACTCTAGATAAAGAAAGTCAAAAAACTGTCATACTTATACTTATTTTTAAGAATACCATAATGGTGGTCAATTATCCCACCTTCTTATTTCTCTTTGGCCAATTAACATCTCTTCACGTTTAGCATCATAAGCGCCACCCTGAAGGGTCCTGAAGAAGTGACCTGGTGAGCCTGAGGCAAATCTACAGTATCATTATTAAGACAATTATTTGTTTTAAATTGCATATCCGTGTTGAATCCCGATCAGTCACGAGTCAGGACCATGATGATATATTGTTGTATGGATATTTCCACACAGCTCCAAACATAAAGAAGAATTGAATCTTCACAGTTTGCAGAGTGCTGTGAGCCAGTAGGACCAGTTAGACCAGTACGCTGGGTAGCATCCATCCTTTTAACCTGTAAGGTTGTCAACATGACCTTGTTAAAGCTCTGTGTTGACATATTGATGGTTTACACAGGTATAGTGCATATTTACACATCACATGAACATATGGAAACAACTAGAAACAACTCCTTGCACAACATACCAGACAGCGCTCAGGGCTATACGTTACCCAACACACATAATTGCATTTTTTTTTTCTCCAGAAAATGAAATTACATCTGGACAAGTAAATATGGTTAAATATGACAATTGTGAGACATTTTCCACTCTCCCTAAGGCTGTGTACTCGGCTCTTTTTTTTTTTTATCATAAAAAGATCCATTTTCCTCGCAAAGAAAAGAACAACGATAATGGCTCCTGCTTGCCGGAGTGCCTGGAGTGATGACACCTCCAAGAAGAAAGTAGCAAAATGAATAAAGTGCAAAAAAAAAAATGAAAAAAAGAAATGAATAAAACATTGTAAGGAAGATGTTTGAACAGTGTACAAAATTCAAAGTGCTCTGGGACTCTTGGAATCTGAGTCAGACTGCAGAAAAGCACTTTGCATATAGTCTCTTTAAGACTTTGAACACTGTAACTTTGAATCTGTTTTTAAAGTAGGATGAATGTAGAACCACTTGGGACTGTAAAGTGGAGACACGCGGAGCATTAAAACGGATGAAACTTTAAGTGAAATAAACTAAAAAGAGAATACAGAAAGAAGGTTACAGGCAATTACTGTGGAAAAGGAAACTAGAAAGAGAAATCCATGAATAAATAAGATTTGAAAAAAAAAAAATGCAGATGTCACTTTGATTGTAATAAATCTTTACAATCTGCACGACATCCAATCAGAGAACGCCCTCTTTAACCACCGACGTCCCCCAGAGGAACATCAGTCACATGAAAGCGACGGCGGCTAGGAAGAGGTCAGGGTTTCATTCACTCTCTGATATTCTAATGTCTTCCTGGGTAATCCTCTGAACGCCGCACGGCTGCGCTCTCCTTTCACTTCTTTTTTATAAATAAAGGGTTCAGTCGAAGCCTCTCATCGGCCGGCCGTTTGATACGCTGGAAAATGTGTTGAACAAAAAGCTGTCAGGAAGCGAACATCAGAGCGCGGGAACACTTGGGGAGTGCTGGTAGATATCTGCGCTTGTTTTGTCTCTGGGGGGGGGGTCGGCAGAGGCAGAAGGACGCGATAAAAAAAAAAGAAGAAAAATTCAATATCATGAATATTCAGACGTTGCTAGCTCTTTTGACTGTTCAAACATCACCTGAATGCTTCATGATTACCAAGCAGGAAACACTTTATTCACCCGAGGAAATGAGAGGCACTTGTTGCACGTTTCTGAAAATTAACTTCCTCTTGTTTGTGTTTTATGCGAAGCCCCCTGGGGATGGAACTAAAGCAAAGGAAAAATTAAGACCAAAAAAAAGAAAAAAAGGAGTTCCCTAAATACCACTTGAGCCTGGATCTAAAGTGAGTCACTCCCCATTAGACCCCATGGGTCCCAACTCTCCACTTTTACAGCCTGGTCTTAATAGATATTTATCACAACTGAACAAAGTTTTAACTACAGTACACTACTTACAGTTATGCTTTATTGGGGGGCGTGGATGCTGCTAGCTGTCGACTAGGTGTCACCTCAGCCTGATTCAGTCATGGCACTTGAACAGCCCATCCAAGACATTTTTGTTTATGAGCATGGTGGTAATGGCGATCCCAGTATGTCGAGACTACAGTATACAGTATGAACTACAAGAAGGATTGTCATCATTTATTTATTTTTTTTAGAATTTTGTGCCTTTAAATGGAGAGATAGGACAGTGGATAGAGTCGGAAATCACTTTTTGCTCTCTCTCCTTTTTATGTTTGAAGGTGTTTTTTTTTTTTCCTCTCTGTAAGTGTGAAACGGGAGTATAATAATCCAGAGTTCCCTTAATATTAACTTTGCCCAAACAGCAATGAACTTAATGATGAGCAGCGAGTGTTACCATTACTGGTTTGCCTCTGAGGCTCTACACTGACTTCCCTTTACACTTGAAGCAGATATGTGCAGCCTTAGATTTAAATTGTGTAATTGTCTTCTATTAACATCATAAAACAATTTTATAGGATACTACACATTTCATGAGTTCAGCTTGGATTTAGGCTGAGTTTCCTAATTTGTATCTTTTCTGATGAAACTCTTTACTGTGGGCCATTTGTAGAAAAAGTGTTCCTACAACTGTAGGATGTATAACGTAGGACAGAATTAAGTATTAATGTCCAGAATGTTCATAACCCAAATTTAAGTCTACTTAAATCTGTGCTTGAGAACAGATATAACAAGCTTCCTGTGGAGGAGTCAATTTCACTAAGAATTATTCTAAAAATCAACAACTAAATTTGTCTTTCACTTCACAAAAAATGGTCCATTATGGCTCTTTCTTGTCTTCCCCATCATCTGCTTCAATAAGTCTAAGCACCGCTTCATTAGCTGCAGAAAAGGTTCCCGTTTTCCTTTAGTCCCCGGGAGATGAAAAAAAAAGATGTTTTAACCCTTCACCCTGGTGCAATCTTCAAGATGGCCGTAACTGGGGAATTAAAACTTAAAAGGAGCTCACACTTCATGACACGAGGACTTTTGACATTTGAGCCCCGATCTTTCCCTCCTCCCCCCCTCGCTGAGCAGACTAATTAACTGCTCTCCCACCGCCTCGTCTTTCCCAGAGAAGCTTTACAGTTTGATAGACAGTCAGAGAAAAGGGAATTCTTCACAGTGTTAACCACAAAAGGCTGTCAAGTCGAGGAAATGTACAAGGTTTTGTCATGTTCAGCTTCCTATTTATTTTAATTGCGCTATCACTGCAGGATCCAAAGTTGTTTACAGAAAAATACCTGCGTTTTGTATCCCATGATGCCCTAACATACAGTAGCTTATACATCTGCTTTGGTTGCTTCCTAACAACAAACTGGCACTTATTGGTCCTCAGAGAGCAAGAAGATGGATGGATAACTTTCCTAACATCAAGTGCTCTAGACCGCCGCGGCAATCGTTCTTGACCTTTTGTAAGCTCCACTCTTTCATCTTTCAGCGTGTAGTCAGGAGCAGAGAAACTATCATTTTAATTGAAAACGATGGCAAAAATGGTGCAATGCATCCTTGAGAAGCGCCAACACAAAGGGCACACACATTATCAAGAACCTGTATCTAATTATGTAGTCCCAGTTCTGAAGTTTGGTACGAACCCTGCCCCGCTATATCCCATTTCAAACTGTCTGTAATAATGCCTCAACAAGAGCTGCCTGGGCACCTTTTAAACCTGTCTCCGGTTTTAATGATTTCATTATTTTTCCAGACATTGCCTCTGTAACCACCTATATGGTTTCGGCCCAAAGGTTCAACAGAAATGACAAGACGGTGAGAAGACTTCTCTCTATCATTAGCTACTTTTTTACCCCTCTCCTACAACTTCCTATGAAGACATAGAGGAAATGCCCAGTTCTGCCAGAACTTAACTTTCACTTGCAAGCTATTCCAGGTCTTCTTGTCCACCAGGCCCCCTTCGTCCATTGCTCCGTGGTCCATTTCTAATGGTCACCTGCCCATTGTAGGATCTTTTGGCAGGCGGACAGGGGTCAACATGGGCACCCTGACCAGGTAATGTTCTAATGAACTGACCATACTGATCCCCACATTCACCAGTCAGCTTTGGCCACCAATGACCACTTCATCAGTTTGGAAGGTTACGACCACTGCAAATCAGTTCACAAGACTTCCAGTTTTGGAAATGCTGAGACCCTGTTGTTGAGTCGTTACATTTTGGCCCCTGTCATACTCAATCTCATCCTTGGCCTCGCCCATTTGCAAAATGTAATCAATGTTCAAACAGTGAGTAATAATTAGAAAGAAGTCTGATTGCACAACTTGCATAGCAAAGTTTTCCCCTCATCATGAAATGATAATTATAAACGTCCCTGAATGCAAATCAGGACATATAAACATTTTGAACCAACGACAAGTCGACTGCATTCAATTCACAAACCTTAGTCTGTTTATCTTTTATACCTTTGTGTTGGGGAATTGAAGGCATATCAATCAATTGAATGTCATGCACGTGTCAGATTTACAAAGTTTTCTGGTCGGTATGGCATTTGTCATAGTTGACAGGGGTCACTGTAAAAAACATGTCATGCTGGCAAGATGGATGGTATTCTTCCTGTCATGAAAACCAGATCAGACGATTGATTGATGAAGGAAAGAAACCTTCCATGAAGGGATACCTACCAGGTCTGCTCGGCTTGCTGGCTGGGCCAATCAAGACGACACATGTGGCCCACAGTGCCATTCGCTTTGGGGAACGTCTTCAGGGCACTAAACACCGGATAGGGCACCATGATGAGCAACGACACCACCCATGTGGCAGCGATGACACGGTAGGCGTGGGATCTCGTCTGCCACGCCCGGGACTTTAGCGGGTTGCATATGGCACTGTATCTCTCGATGGCAATGGCCACGAGGCTAAAGGTGGAGATGCTGACGGAGATCCCTGAAGGACAAAAAAAGACAGGAGACATTGAGCTGATCACTTTTGTCACAGGCCAGAGATTTCAACACAGATAGTCATGAAATGTTGTTCTGCTATTCATGGACCTAATACCTAACCCTAAGTATATGTTGAGTTAAATTTGAGACATAATTGATTTTAATCGTTTTTGTATACTACAATTTGGCCCTCTAGCAGTGAGAATTAAACGAATGTGGCCCTTGCTGTGACCAAAGTTGCCCACCCCTGACATACAGCGTATTTCCAGAATTAGGTCCCTCAACAGGAAGATCGCCATTAAACAGCGTGGCATGGAGTGGTTCTATTCATACTGATGAAAATGCCAATTGTCAGTGCAAAAACAGAATGACTGAGCGCTCTGCAGAGACGGCTTGTAATTCTATAAGCATGAGGTATCTCAAGTTGTAGTCCTGGGGCCCTTTTTTTTTTCAATAATAATCACCAACTCTCAGTAGACATGAATTTGATTCATAAAAACAGCTGCTCCATCGTCTATGAAGACATATCTTACATTAAAGAACCTTTGTGCCTATCCAAGGTCATTGTCTCTATCGGGCTTGATGCAGGTTAAATGCCTTCATAGAAAATCCAACGCCAAGCTGCATTTGCATGTATGAATATGCAAATTCAAAGGAGAGGTGGGCAAGCTCAGTCACTGCATAGCATAGCATGAGATCTAAGAGTTAGCAGGGTGAGGCGAATAGCATCAATAAACCACATTTGTGGGGTACGAGCAGCTAGAAAGAAGCCCCATAGGAATTCATCCATCACGCTGAACCTGCAAAGCTACATGAAGGAACAACCTCAATCCACCACATAGGAATCCCCTTCCATTGTTCCTCTCCAAAAGGAAAGAACATATCCTGTCTAAACTATAGCTTTCGTTATCATTCATGGGTGGACATCATTATGCATTCCCTTTATAACCATGCAACTCAATCTACAGGAACCATACTAATCGCTGGACCGCTCCATGGCTTTGTCGAGAACAATTTGTCCTCTCTGGAAACTGATGATAAAAATCTCTGTTCCTTTGTATTTTGAAAAAAAAAAAGCTTTGTTATGTAGCTCAGGATTTTAGTGGATATTGTCAAGGGCAGAGTACATTTAGAAGAAAAAAAGGAACCGTGTAGTACTTCTTTGTGGGATTTGATAGGGAGTGTGATAGGAGCGAGGGAACGGCTTTATCTTATTCCTGCGCTTACAGAACAAAGGAGGTGACTTAAAGGGATACTCCAGAACAAAGAGATCATTCCAGCAAAGATATCTTAATTCCTTTTTTCCTCAAAGAGCAGCTGGAGAGACTCTGTTGGGCATTATTAAAATCATTTCAGCTCCTTCAGAATATGGTTACTCCTATGATTACTGCAATACTGACATAAAACCTGACAGGACACTACATTCAACTACACATTTAGTCGATTGAGAGGTACCAGCTCTTTGTTCATTATCACCGTTTCTCAAACTCAGCTTATCAGCTTAGCACAGGGGCTGTCAAACAGTGAGGCACACCCCCTTAGGGTGAGAAATGTGAAACATATATAATGCATGTGTGATGTACATCTACATTCACCAGAACACGGCCAGCCATTTTTCAAGCTTGACGTTTCTCTTTTTTTAACCAAATTTGCCCCAAATCTTGCAGCTAAATGGCTTATTTCAATCAGATATGAATAAACAGATATTCCACTCCAATCCAATTATTTCAAATTCACCATCGATAATCAGAATACCATGAATCCAATTGTAAAAAATAACATAGAAAACAAGATGCTTATTTGTTCAGACTTTGCCTGGTACGCACCAGTGCTGCAGAGCCTGTCCCAACCCTGCCTGTCTCAAGACCCAAAGACAGAGAATAGAAGTCTGTATCGCATGAGAAGCCTTTCGGGGGCTCATTATCAGATGGCAAGATTGAGTTTGTACAAGGGATACCAACTGAATTTGACTCATCCCATAGCAACACTACAGTCTAACATATGTTTACCTTTGGCCAAATTTATGTTAAAAATAGTCATGTTAATTAGCATTTGTCATGAAGCACATTCATCATTAGAAGAACTCTATTTAAATACTACTTGCAGTGTTAACTTTGGCATGACTTTGCTGCATTAAGAGTTATTCCTGTGCAGGCAGAAAGGAAAGTTTAACTCATTAGCACGCTCCAGCTGACATTAACATCTCAGGCTCAAGGTGAAAAACCTTCCTGCAAAGCACAGAGAGGAGCGGCCACCAAGCTTGTTCAATGGAACAATCCTGATTGCCTGTTGACCTTGGTACGCTACCACTCACCGAGAATATCCACCCAAAGCTCCGGTGAAGCAGAAGGAGTTGGGTGTGTGGGTGGTACAGACCACGCATGTGATTTTTAACAGTATACTGGACTCTGCAAAAGAGTCTGGCACAATACGTTTTTCACACCCACACATCTCTTTCAAGTTCTAGGACACAGACACAGAGAATGACTGAAAAAGCAAATCAGAGAAGGGGGAATTGTTGATGCTTGGGGTGTTCATGCCCAACCACAGCTCTGATCGAGTAAATGAGAAACACAGCATGCAGGAAGGTAGCAGGTTTGGTCTTATTGTCTTACCCTTCAAGGAGATGAAATTATTCAAAAAGGACAAAAGCAATGACTAGAAGAACTTTTGAAAAGTGCTTCGCAAAGCAAACAAAAAGCAGGATAAAAATATCAAGGGTGTTTTAAAGGCAGCCATAAACAACCTGTACATTTCAGACACCATTAATAATTCAGGGAAACATTTTGGATATGATTACATTCTGCAATAAATGCTGGACATTTCCTCAGTTGCTTTCTTTCATAGAGCAGAGAGTTACATTACATCTCTCTGTTCATTATGAGGCTGTATCCTTGTTAAGGTTAGCTTAGCTTAGCACACTGCCTAAACACGGGTAAACAGCTAGCCTTGTTTGGAGTCTTCTGTATCCGATACAAAAAAAAGCAACACAAGATGTTGTTTAAGAACATTATATTGACTTACAACAGACCGACGTCCAACTGAAATGTCTAACGGTTGATTTAAAAAATATATTTTGTGATGTACAAATTTAAAATGAGGGTGCAATGCAACCTTTTGCACCCTTGTAGAACAGCACCGGCTAGACTTCCTGCAGATTTTCAAGTAACTATTGTCTGACTGTCGATACATTCTTCAACTGATGTGCATGTCATAAAACATAGAAATATGTTCAACCAAAATGTGCTAATATAGATCAACAGCAAATATGTCCTCAGATGGGGGTCTGGTTTCCAAAGTAAAGAAAATAGAAGGAAGTTTGCCTCCTTTCTGAAGACATGACGGTTTGAGCTAAAATAAAACATCAATGCTCACTTTTGATTTCACAAAAAACATTAACAGCAATTTCCTAGGTGACAGAGAAAAACACCTTTTGCTTAGACAATCACAGAGTCGCGCAAGTGTGAACCTCTACATCCTGCGAAATCACGCTCAACAGAGTGAACAAGGTGTGTTTAAGGCGGCAGAGCCAGACAAACTGTTTCCCCCGAGCTTTTCATTAGTGATGGGAATTCCAGCTATTTTTAAGTGAACCAGATCATTTTGCTCAGCGATAAGAGTCTGCTCTCTAACGGCTCTTTATTTGGTACCATGGTACCAATTTCTCCAGCCCAGGAGATTCATGACTTAAACTTTAGCCAACTTTAGTTCACAACCACCACTTGTTAGAATAAGCTGTTTCAGCTATATGATATATTTATGTGCAAATTTTGGAATGGAAAACACAGGATGAGACTCACTCATTTGAAACCATGTGGCTCTATCAGACATTGGTCACTACCAGAAGGGTCCATGTGGTGTGGGGTAAAGAAGACCCAAGTGAGTCCAGTTGTTTGTTCTAGCATCTATGCTCTGCTTCCTGTGGCAATATTTATTTTTACAAACGTTATAAGCAGTGTTCAATCCCCGGGCTTCATCATTCAGGGAGCATAAGTTGGGTGTTTCTTAAGGCGCTCGCTTCACCCCTAAAGTCCAGTTTGTTGACTTGCGATCAACCACGGTACACATCCTTGGCCCTGGCAACCTTGGAAGAGGTGTGCGTCGGCACAGTATAGTTCATGCATGAGCACAAGATCGGGTACACAATGTGGACAACATTCATTATCGCGAAATCCCAGAGTTTTACGGCTGTATCTGCCTAAAGTGACTCAAAATGAGCACTTACAAAGACTGATAACATAGACGTACTGAAACAAATTGCACTTCCCTTTGATGTATTGCACTTCTACTCCAGTGATTTAAAATCGATGACAGAGTTGTCAAAACAGCTTGAAGAGATTCAAACAGGACTAATGTGCTTCTTGTCAGAGATATCAGATTCATGTTTGAGAGTGAAAGGCCCTCATTTATCACCTCATTCAACATTTCAGTCCAGGTCCACTTGACCATCCGTCTCATTACTGGGAAAGCCGACACTGACACTGGGACCAATTTGTTTGGAGGTTTTATGGAACAGAGCAGGAAATCTTGGTGAAGTAAAATGAACTTTAAAAATATGCACAGCAACGATATATTAGCTAGTGTTAGCAGTAGTTAGCTTGTACGTTATGTATAAGTGCTTTTTGCAGAGCTGATCCCATTGAAAACATTTTTTAATCATACTTTATGCAGCTACTCTGGTTGCTAATACTGAAACACCTCAGCCTTAACTATTTAGCAAGGTGCTGGCTGCTCCGGACAGCTCGTCATACACTGGATGGGGCTGAATTGTGCCCAGATACTAAAAAACAGATACTTGTCAGATGATCATCACTGCACAGAAGGCCTGGTTGTTGCAGCTGAGTGTTTGATTAAATAGAAAAATAAATAGAAGATTTAAAAAAAACAAAGACTGACTGACTGACAGGTGTTGTGAATTGCTTTTGGAAAATCTCTCTCCTATTGTATGATTCAACTTTTGTTTGTTGGGTGGGGATCGAACTTAATATTACAATTTTGCTTCTTCTTTGTTTATTAGCAACTCAACAGTGAAGAGGAGGGACATTTGACCATCTTATAAGTTACAAAAAGCATGTGATAGCTACTGTTAGCAGCTTACCTTAGCATACAACGTCCAAGCTTTACTGTTGGTTATGTTTTTTATTTTTTTGGCAGGAAAGGTTTAAATTGAGTTGTTTAGCTAACGTACAGCTAATGTAAGCTAGGAATTTATGCTTACATTAGCTGCTTTGACTTTGCAGTAGCTAATTGATTTTCACATTTTTGCTCAGGTAGAAATACTATTTTGATTGCTGATCAAGCTCCGATTTTTTTCAGGTTTGTTTTCCTACATTTCTATGATTTTCAGCCTCTGACATCATTGTGTAGGTATGACCCGCGGTGTAATAGCGCTTTAAGTAGTCAAAAGGCTAGAAAAGCACTATACAGGCTCAAGTCCATTTACCATTTACCACTGTGTCTCAGTTATTGCTTCCTATTCATTCCAGCTGTGATTGCAGACAGCAGAGCAGATCAAGGCTCCCACTCCCTGACCTGACATTTTCCAAGATTGAGCGGCTAATGTATGAACCGAGGAGATTCTGCTGCGACTCTGGCCAAGGTGCTGCCAAGCTAATTACCAGTCAACTAACCAACTAAATGCTCACATCTCCCCCCGTTGTGCTTTATTCTCTCTTCTAGGGATAGAAAAGAAGCTCTAATCCCTTTTCTTGTTCATTACTGGCGAGCCAGGCGAACACTGCTTGATAACTGGCTTTAGAGGAAAAAAAAACCTGAAGTGTGGAGTCGAAGTGTTTTCTCAGTTCAATCCATCCTTGGAGAGCAGATTTTACATTCCATAGCTGAATCTGTAGCTGTTCGTTCTAGCTCACATCTAATTCTTCAAGTGTTCAGTTGGATGTTGCCCTGCAGGAACCTGAGGGGATAACAGCAGTTTAAATGGAGTAAAAGTTTCAAAGGTGCCAGATTCCCTTGCAGCTAGTTTTGTACAAGTTTTCTGGAAAACTAAAATTCTTATACATTATTTAAACTACAACTCGGGGTGATGTGTAGGGCTGACAAGACTTAGCTGGTAGTTGGTTTGTAATTGCATTATATGACAGGCAACAAGAACACAAACATGGATACATGAATGTGAGAATATTACAACATTGATCTCAACACTGCTACTGGAACAGTGCAGGGGGGGCGATAATTCTTGATTATGAGCTGCAGTGTATGAATATGAGGATGGACTGTGTACTACATGGCAAATGGGTGGGGGCTAATAGATGAGTTTGCAGAGAGGGTTTGACAGAATCAATGAGTGTAGATAGTTATAATGATCCTGTGTATTGATTGGTTTCAGTTGATGGAGGGTCTTGCTAATAGGAAGAGCGTAAATCAGACCCTTGGGGGAGGGTTTCTTGATATGGATTTTCATATGCAGACGATATAGTTATACTACATTTTGCATTTGCAAACAATTACATTCTTACATTTTCCCATTAAGAAGGACAATGGTCTTGTGTTACCTCTGAAGGCAGCACTAGGTCTGATTCCTCTCATGGGCCACTCCAGGCTTACTCACTTATTAGTGGCGCTACAGTCTCGGCATATTTAAGCTGGCATTGAAGAGTCATGCAAATCAGCGTCATCACAATTCAAACCAGGAGAAAAAGGCTTTAAATTCTAAAACACACAAACCCAGGAAACAGATGTGAATAAGAAACGCTGCAGATCCAGTCCAGGAGTTAAAGGGATTGGTACAGAGACCTGGCCTTGGATTTACACAACACAACAACTGCTACCTCCTAATGGAGATTTAAGAAAAAAACTCTCTAACATCTAGAGAACACGACTTTAGTAAGTACTACCCCCCGACCCCGAGCAGGGTCTTTTTGAGGGGTAGATCTTTAACCCAGAACTACATTTAAAACCTGTTTCCTGCGGTCAAAGACAACACAGTTCCTCAAAAGGTCCCTTGTTCTGGGGGAAAGTTCATGCAGATGAAAAAGGGGCTTTAGACCTTACATTTTAGTGAAACTGGCGCACAATTTAACAGAGAAATATTTGGTGATGGACAAAGCTTTGCAAAAGTCACTACAGCTACTTAGTCATGATGCGAGTGGATTGTTTGCATTGGGTTTTTTTTTGCATTTAACCCTTTAAAAACTAATTTTTGAGCAGTCTGGCACTAGGATTTCCCTTGAGGTAAATTCAGTTAATTTCTTCCAATGAAGGAGAGAAATGGATGTGACAAAGAGACTATTAGGTGAGCCTCAGGTGTAAAGCAACAAAGTTTGTACAGAGCCCAAGTCAATGTAGTGACAGTTCGCTACAATTCATTGATTCATGTAGGGCAACAGGAAATAATGCATTTCCGCCATCTTTTTCCTGGAATTTAAACATAAAGACCACAATGAAAAAACAAGATATGCATTGTTACAACATTAAATACTTTGTTGAGGAAAAGGTGAAATTCCAGTGTATTTATATGTTCATATTGTGCAGAGAAAATAAAATGTTATGGCAGTATGTATCTTCATTGAAGGACATCTTGGTCGTCTTATCCAAGTTATGAAAAGGCCGGTATTCAGAGATGATTCATCTTCTCCTTGAGTTAAAATGGCTCACACAAATATAAGAGAACAATAAAGGTTTTTCTTGTGATTTCCAGTCGGAAGCAGCTGGCCCTGCTGCCCTCCTGCTCCTTATCACAGCTCAGAAAGCTCAGTAATTGAAAAGGAGATTCAGTCCTGCCTGTTCTCACAGATGGTGCGTAGCATTTCCGAGACAATAATGGGATAGGATTGTGTACCTGCCCATTCAATCGCTCTTCTTGACCATTCAAAGCTCAATGGCAGGCGAGGAGACAGAAAGCATTTGCGGCAGGATCTCGGGGTTCTCTCCCCCCGTCTCTTGTGCTCGGGTCTGACTCAGGCCTCACGTGGCACCTCGAGTCTGGCCTGATGGGAGCCAGCTCATCGCTAAGTCACACTCCTAGAGATGAGTGACTGTTCGAGCACTTTCAGCGTGATGGCTACCTTCTGACAGGCAAAACGAAAATCAAGCCCAGAGAAGAGCAGTTTGAAAAAGACAGGTTTTTTATTCTGACAGAGAGCAATTTTCAGGCAAGACTTGATGACCCAACAGGTCTCCTGATGAACTAAAGGAGAGGCCAGGTTTCAAACAAGTCGATGAATGAAATATAAAATCAATTCAAACCGCTTTCTTCTGCCTGTCAGCTCTGTTTAGCATAATTAATGTGAATTAGGGTCTTTTCATGAGACTCTCTTTGGCTTTTCATTTGAATAAAAATGGAGAACAAAGAACCCATCACAGGCACGATTCGAGGTATTTGACTCCAAATGTCACATTTATTATTCATTTCCTTTTCCACATTTGTCTCCTTACTTTTGGCTGTTATTGTAAGTGTTTTTTCTCTCTCTTTACGATACAGTACAATGGGATGAGGTAAAGCACAGTAACATAATGTGATCCGGTACACGGCCATGACAGTTAAGGTGATATTTTAAAGTCTGAGGTGTCCTTGAAAACCAAAAATTGGCAGCGTGGGTTGATCGTTTTTTTTTATTTAAATTTGACAACAATACCAAGCGGCAACCTCCGGTCTTGAAAAATGAAACCAATGCAGAAGTGCAAAATCCTGCAGTTCTTTAAGTGTCCACTTGAGGCTGGCTCAAGGAACACAGGAAGTCACATACACACAACAGGCAAAAAAGCCCATTGTGTTTACAGCCTGGTAAAAAAAACTAAATATATCTGATAAGTTATTGTCTTCATGGGCACACACTGTACAGGGGGAACAGCTCTGTTTTGATTTTTACGACAATCCATTGTGAGGCGCGTAGCTGACGTGATTGACAGGTGGGCGCGATGTAGCGGTTCGACTCAAAACTTGGACAGATGCATACTCTTACTACCATGGTGAGGATGTTTGAACGTAACACCGAGCACCAGAAGTACCTGAATTAGATTCTGAAGTGATGCTACCATTTGAGGTTTTCCTCAAATGGGAAAGAAATCAAAGCAAAGATGATATTTCATATCAACATGTCTTGAGACTGCTAAGAAGTTACTTAATAATGGGGCAATAAATGTGATCTTCACTGCTCTGGACAAGCAAAGTGTTTTATTGATCAGTGCAAAGTGCTTAGTGATTACTGTGCCAGCTGGGGAGATTAAGGGCTTCATCAATTTCTGCTCACTTTTAAAGCAAAAAAAAGTCTCCACACCACCTTACTTCAAATCTAACAAGCCGCTTGACGATTCAAATGTTGCCGCTTAAAAAAAAACCCAAAAAAAACAGTTCCTCCTCACCCATCAAGTAGGTGACGGTCTTGCACATGGCACCTCCGAAGATGAAGTCCTCCAGGATGTTGGGGATGAGGGTGAACGGCATGCAGAAGACGGCCATCATGAGGTCGCTGACGGCCAGCGACAGCAGGAAGGAGTTGGTGACCGTGCGCATGCGCTTGTTCAGCATCAGGACCACGATGATGAGCAGGTTGCCGAAGGCGCTCAGCAGGAAGATGAGCGAGTAGAGGAGGATGCGAAAGGAGTCCATCTCTGGCAGAGAAAGAGAGAAAGGGAGATTAGTTATTCAAATTTTGATACTGACAGAAAACTGCATCATTAGGTGTTTTCGCACCGCAGGATTATTTCACAGTTCTGGGAACTATTTTAGTTTCTAGAACCGCGTTTAGAGGAACCTTTACAGCTCCTGCTTCAGAGTTGGTACTCTCCCATCACAAGAGGGACTTTAAGCGACATAATTGCACAGTGATTGGTCAGTGCATGTTGATTGGTCGAACACAGGAGCCAATCCAATACCACCACCTGACTTTTTTAAATCCCACTGTAAACATTAGGTAAAAAAAAAAAAAAAGACTAAAAGTGGGGGGAATGGACTGAAGCTGCTAAAAAATAAATCACTCTGGGGCCGGCTTATGTCACTTGAAGGTTTTTTTTGGGTTTCTTTTGCCAACACCATGGCAGTGCAGAAAGGCAAAAAAAAATCCCCATGGTGAGTCGTTCTCAGGAAACTCTCTAGAGGAATTTTTCCTCTTCAGAAAGTCCCCAGAACTGTTTTGGTCTGAAAAAACACCAAATGACAGAAAGACTTCCACCTTCCAGATGAAGACAACTAAAAACGTTTCATCTGTCTGCTTCGAGTTTTTTTTTCCTTTTTTCCATCATTCATTCAAACCTTATATTAAATTACTCATGAAGTAATAAAACAAGATGACATTGAGGGAGAGAAAAAAAAGTGAGAATAAACCGAAACAACATGGATACATGAAATAAACAAAGTGTATCACGATGTTGTTCATTGGGGAAATAAGACTGGAGGCACATAAACAACACCAAAGCCTATTATGAGGCAGAATAACTTGGCATAATCAACATCTTCAGTTGAGCGAGTGTCAATATTTGTCTTCTCACCCTGTGTGCCAAGCGATAATTGAAATGATAATATTGACAGGAGAAGACAAAGACAAACAACATCATCAGTGCTGAGTGGGGAGGGGAGGAGGAGAGGGGGGGGGAATATAACTCAAACTGGAAACGCAAGGTTGAAAATAAATAGTTATTAGTATCACCATTAACAGCATCATCCTCATGTATACCAGATACAAAACAATAACAATGAGACAAACGACATCAAGGACATTCATTCAATTTCAAAGCAATTTAACAATAATGCTGAGAGCAGAAAACAACTCATTTCAACCAGTCTGAAAATATCAAAAGGAATAAAAATATCTTCTGTGCAAACTAAGAATGAAACAGTGTTATGTGATTTTACTTCTCTCAGCAGAGACATAGAGCTGAGCATCAGGGAGACCAGGACAGTCCAGCTAGGGGCTTTTTGGGGATGCTCTCTTCACTCACACCGGCCTGTCACAGTGAATCTGTTCGAGGATGAGAGTACATGTAAGGGGACAAGGTCGGGGCAGGCCATGTGCTGCGCCGACTGAGTCCTCAGATTAAAGACAGCGACATGGGACAAAGTCTGCAGCGTGGGCCTGGATCACCTTGAAGGCACACGCACACGCACACCCCATCATGACGAGTCCAAATCAGGACACCAACAGCGCTGTCACTTTTGGTGCCAAGTGTTGAAGTTTGGGGTTTAGGAAACGTGTTTTTCTGACAATTTCGGTGTATATTCTAACTACAAAAATAACACTGGAGAGAGGCAACATTTAAATCTTCTCAGCTCATTTCATTGAGGACTCAAAAAGAAGAAGGCTGCCCAAACTCACAATTTAAACTGCAGCCAAAATATAGGCTATTTTGAAAATATAAATCCCGCCTCAGACATTGCCAATCATAATCTAGGACTTGGCACCTGGGGTGGCCAATCAGATTTCAAGGGGCCCCCCAGCTACCCCCTGTTCCCAGGTCCATGATGTTTGGACATGGAAGTGCTGGATCAACTTTAAAGCGGGAGTTGATTTGCATCAATGTTTTTCTTCTTTGAGTTGATCTGCAGGATTCATGCAGACGCTGGGAAAAGCTCATTTTGTTGCAAAAGTTGTGATTTCATTGTCTCTTGTTTGTAATCAGTGAGTAAGTGCATCTTGAATTAGCTAGCTGGCACATTTACAAAATGTCCACTAACAATCAATTTGTACACAATAATGAATTCTATCCGTAAAGCGCTTTTCACAGCTAAAGTGCCGGTTACCAACGGTTACCAAAGAAAAACATTTGGCCTTAAATTGACAGAACAGACAGTGGCAGACTACCAAACTCCTGACAGATGTTGTTGTCAAAATAAATGAAGATGTTACATCTCTGTTTCACACACTTTAGAGAAGCCCATTTCACTGGAAATATTCTCATGTTGCAGCGATAACTCGCTTATCCAGAACTATTTTACATTTAAAGAGGACCTATCATCCCCCTTCTCCACCTTTCAAACAGTCCTCTGTGGTCTAAATGAAACATCTGTGCTGTGCTTTGATCAAAATATAACATGAATCAAGCACCAGAGGAGGTTTGTGACCCTGTATAAACCAGCTCTCTCAGAACGCTCCGTTTTGGTGTGTGTGTCTCTTTAAATGCAATGACCCCCCCCCCCCTGAGTTTTCACCGTAGACATCACTCCTCTGGAGCGAGAATAAAAATGGCGGACGTGCTTTTGTTCTAGGCTGGGGGTGGAAATATCAGGGAAGGGGAGTTTTTTTTTTTTTACCAGAATCCCACTGTGACATCACAAGGAGAGCACATTTGAAACAGAGAATTTTTCTCCGTGTTGTAAGACTTATGCAGACCACAAACAAAGGACTGGATGGATTTATTTCACATTTTGTGGGCCAGTAGACTCTCAGGTTACCCAGATACATGTTCATAAGCACTGCAGAAATTGATTTGTCATAATATGTCCCCTTTAATGAAACAAAAAAACAGCAGTCAGGGGATTGTCGGACAAATCTTAGAGGCAGCAGCCACTATGAGATTGCATTTATCAGTCAATCCACTGAGGCACTATACATCTAACATAAAGACAGATGAGTTGTTGAACTGGACTGGACTTCTTCCTGAAAGACCCACTGGCCCTAAAGTACAAATAGGAATTATTCCTCAGATGGCTTACGGGTCAATTTCGGAATATTGAAATTAAAGTCAGTCACATGCATCCAAAAAAATAAAAGGTAAAACTGTAGCACACATGACAAGTTGGATAATAGTTTGATTAACACAACAGCATAATGTGACATGTGCACAATCAACACTAACTCATGAGACTTCATTCATAAACACAAAGCAGGCGGCTCAGACCGGCAGCTCCTATTGTGTAAGATTTTTTGTGCGACGCGGCCGAGTGAAAATGGAATTATCTATTCATTGAGCAGCAAGAGGTATGTATGCCCCCCTGAGCGACTGCAGGACAATTCACTTTGGCTCCTTTGACTCCCTCAAGCATGACAGCTGAGTTCAAAAAAAAGCAAAAAGCAAAAGCATCTATAAATACATCACAGGTAAGAGAGCGGCGTTCATCTCGGAGATGCTCGCATGGAGCAGCGAGTCGTTGACGTGGAACATTTTAGACCATGACCCTGAGCTGATAGACAAAGTCTGCAGCTTCTGTTAAGGTCACGTCTGTTTATTTAACCTCTGTTTGCTCTTTGTGGACCGGGATGCTAGTGTTTAGTCGCAATGATCATTTACACTCACTCTTCTTTTCTTTCTTTTTTTTTTTTTTAAGAGCGTAAGCAGTACTTTACAGGAACAGGAAGTAATTTGAAAGCTCGGCCGATTATAGGCGGCAGTGGAGTAAGTTGAACGGAGCAGGATGTAATCTGGGTAAAGTGATTAAATCTTTATAATCACCGAGCAGTCACAATCTGAGAGGTGACTGAGAAATCATTTTAATAAAAACCTGGCTGTAAGGCTGTTCTTCACTCCGAGCACCGGGGAGATGATGCAATGCTCCAATTTGATATAAATTACAGTTAGCCCGGTCTAAATGGGATGTTGTTGCTAATTATAAGTGAGCATAGAGTCCTATTCCAATGAAGCAATAAACATCAGCCATAAAGGACGTCCTGATCTTGTGGGAGCGAGCGGCTAATTCTCCCTTTTCAAATAAAGTTTGGATTAGAACTGATGTCCGACTTTTCCAAAAAAATAGTAAAGCCAATTTGTGGACCCGTTTACACGATAAGGGAAACCACAACTTTCTAAAAAATGGAAATGTACTTTCAATCGATCGCAGGAATGATCAACTGCAGAGGTGTGGACGCGAGTCACATGACTTGGAATGTGTTTTTTCCTTCTTTTCTGAAAACCTTAAAATATGACTTTATGGCGATTATGCTACGAGGTTAACAATTTGAACTTTTAGGAATTGCCGGAAAATATCTCAAGGTGATGTGAAACAATGATCTTGGTCTTGATGAAACTCAAAACAGCCAAAAATCAGCGTTACTGTCTGTTGGTGTTTACAGCTCAAATCTTTAAAATAAAACACTTGTCGGTGCCCTTTGCAGTCGTTCACCTTCTATGGTTTCTGTCAGCTTCATAGCTCTCAGATTTCATCACCCAGTAGATTCATTTTTATGTAAGCGGCTTTGAGAGCACAAGATCCAACAGGTTATTTACACATAAACATTTGCTCCTCATCACCATTAATGGCTGTATTTTGGAGCCACTCCATTCCAAACTAGTAAACACTTCAAATTGTGAATAAACTACTGCCGATGAATGTTTTTCTCAGAGTGGATGCGCGTGTCAACAAAGCCGATAAATAACCATTTCACTTCTCAGAGCACTTTAAGAGCTCCGGCTTTAATTCCCTATTATTCTTTTTATTACTGGTTGAAAAAGCAAATCTGATGCTGCCGCTTTTCAAAATGTACCGCTAAACCCCCAACTTAATTTCTTCTTCCCTATAACAGGTTCAATCAAAAGATAAGAGATCAGGGCAGAGATCTCCGTCATGCTCGGAGCAATCACAAGGAGGAAGAAAAAGAATAAGTGAAAGCCAGGAGTGAATTCAAAGATATGTGGATCCCTTCGACTGGTCTGAAAAGGAGAATACTGGACCTGTTGGCTTT